GGGACAACATGGATGGACCTAGAAGGAATTATGCTAAATGAAATAAGTTAAAGAAAGACAAATACTGTATGATTTCACTTACATGTGGAATCTAAAAAACGGCAATTGAACAAACATAACAAAATAGAAACAGCATCATAGTTACAAAGAACAAACAGGTGGCTGCCAGAGAGGAGGGGGAATGCAGGACCAGTGAAATAGGTGAAGGAGATTAAGAGATACGAAATTCCAGTTAAAAAATAAATAAGTCATGGGATGAAATGTACAGTGTGGGAATACAGTCAGTAATTATGCAATATCTTTGTATGGTGACAGATGGCAACTAGACTTATCATAGTGATTATTTTGAAGTAGACAGAAATACTGAATCACTATGTTGTGTACTAACATAGTGTTGTAGATCAATTATACTTCAAAAACAAACCAACAAACTCTTAGAAAAAGAGATCAGATTTGTAGTTACCAGATGTGGGGGGGGTGAGGGAGGAGGAATTGGATGAAAATGTTCAAAAGGTACAAACTAGAGAAATAAGTACTAGGGATATAATGTACAGAATGATAAAAATAATGAACACTGCTGTACGTTATATATGAAAGTTGTTGAGAGTAAATCCTAAGAGTTCTCAGCACAAGAAAAAAATTTTTCTATTTCTTTAATTTTGTATCTATATGAGGTGATGGATGTTCACTAAACTTACTGTGGTCATCATTTCATGATGTATGTAAGTCAAATCATTATGCCGTCCACCTTAAACTTATACAGAGCTGCATGTCAATTATGTCTCAATAAAAAACTCAATAAAAGTGGAAGGGAAAACAGTATACACCCTTCACAGAGCTCTTAGGGCTGTGAAGACAGATATAAGCAAATAGGTACATGAAAAAGTCTAACATCACTAATCATCAGGGAAATGCAAATCAAAACCACAATGAGATATCACCTCATACCTGTTAGAATAGCTATTATCAGAAACACAAGAAATAAAAAGTGTTAGCAAGGATGTGGAGAAAAGGAGACCCTTGTGCACTGTTGACAGGAATATAAATTGGTGCAGCCACTGTGGGTAACAGTATGGAGATTCCTCAAAAAATTAAAACAGAACTACCATGTGATCCAGCAATTTCAGTTCTGGGTATTTACCCAAAGAAAACAAAAACACTAACTCAAAAAAATATATGTACCCCATGTTCACTGCAGCATTATTTACAATAGTCAAGATACGAAAACAACGTAAGTATACACTGATGTATGAATGGATAAAGAAAATGTCGTATATGCATATATACAATGGAATTTTATTCAGCCATAAAAAAAGAATGCAATCCTGCTTTTTGTGACAACATGGATGCGCTCTGAGGGCATTATTCTAAGTGAAATAAATCAGACAGAGAAATACAAATACCATATGCTCCCACTTGTGGGATCTCATATGTGGAATCTTTAAAAAAAATTTTTAATTTAAAAATTAAAATAAACCACCAAGCTCATAGGCACAGAGAACAGATTGGTGGTTTCCAGAGGCTGGGGAGTAAGAAGGATGTGGGCAAAATGCGTGAAGAGAGTCAAAAGTTACAAACTTCCAGTTATGAAATAAGTAATTCATGAGGATGTAATGTACAACATGGTGATATAATTAATAATACCACATTGCATATTTGAAAGTTGCTAAGAGAATAAATCTTAAAAGTTCTTATCCCTCCAAGAGGGGAGAGGACATAGCTCAGTAATAGAGCACGTGCTTAGCACATGCACAACGTCCTGGCTTCAGTCCCCAGTACCTCCATTTAAATAAGTAAATAAAAACCTAATTACCTTCCCCTATTAAAAAAAAAGTCCTCATCCCCTCTAAAAATTTTGTAACCATGTGTGATGAGAGATGTGAACTAGAGTTATTGTGGTGATCATTCTGCAGTATATACAAATATCAAATCCTTATGTTGTACACCTGAAACTAGTATCATGTACGTAAATTATACCTCAATTTAAATTTTTTAATTTCAAATAAAATCAAAATAGATATGGAAACATTATAACACCATAATGGTCTCTCCCTTCTATCATACTCTATGGATTTCAAGATGAATCATGTGCTTAGCACTATGAAGGATATAAAATAGGCATAAGATGTGGGCCCCATTCTCAAGAAGACTCCAAGTTAGCTGGGGAGACATGCTAAAAATGTTGGGAGGAAACACACCTGAACTTCGTGGTTCAGTTTAAGAGGCTTAGAAAATATGCTGAGCAGCCAGAACAGGAGCCCAAACACCAAGGTTAAGTTTACACGTTGGAAGAGTGGGATGTATGGCACTATTTAAGTTCTCTAAGAAGAAGAATGACATTAACACACTAGTCCCCTGTTTAAACCCCCTCAACTTCCCATCACTCTTAAAATAAAATCTACATTTCTTAACGTAGTTTTTAAGACCCTGGTAAGATCTGACAGTTTCATTCCTCTGTACTATCACTATTGCCACCTAGTGCCACTCCCCTTCTCTTGCCATCTGGAACTTCTCTGTGTTCTTTGAAGATGTCAAACTCCTTCCCACTTCAGGGCTTTTGAACATGCTGTCACCTCTTTTAAAACACCTGATTATCCACCTCTTCTTCAACATCATTTCTTTCACAAAGCTCATCAAACCCATAATTTCTTCTTTGTCTCCCATCCATTAGAATATAAGATCAACAAAAAAAGGAGACTTCACGTGTCTTTTTCATCACTGCATCCCCAGCAACTAGCACAGTGTCTAGCGTAGCATAAGATAGACTAATAGAAGAATAAAGAGGGAAGTTGTGATTAATTAACTGGGAAGCATGGAACGGCTATGTTAAGAATTCCTGACTGAAAAATTGTGCTGAACATTGGAATTTGTCACAACATTGTAAAATGATTATAAATCAAAATGTTAAAAAAAAAGAATTCCTGCAAAATAAGCCAAGGAGATCAGAGATTAGAGATGATAGTCAAAGAGAGAAAGCGATTAAGATGAGTCAGTCTGGGGAAAAGGAGGAGCTAAATAAATTCAACTTTCTGGGGCATGTTGAGTTGGCAGTACCAATGGGACGTGCAAATGTTGAGAGTATAACAGGAGAGAGGTTATGGTTAGAGATACAGATTTGGGAGCTGTCAGCATTGAGGACCTCAGTGAAGCTCTGGGACGAAGTAAGCTCTAAAAGGGAGAGTGTGGAAAGAAAGGACTGAAATGTTGAAGGCTGGACCTTGGATAAAGGCTAGAGTTAGGCGACAGGAAGAGGAAGGAAAACAAAAGAAGGCACGCAGCAGTAGATGAAGAATGCCAGTCATGTTGAGAGAATCGCACAGAAGAGGTGTTGTGTAGTGTTAAACTAAGAAGCCAAGGAGGATGAAGACTGGAGTAAAGGCCATTAGATTTGGCAAGAGATCACTGGGAACCTTGGAGAGCCAGCATGCAGTGGAGCGTCGCGACAGAATTGATGCAAGTGGCGGAACCAACCCGTGGGAATACATTTTTGTCAGCAAACTGACAATTCGGGATGACAGCTAACTTTTGAAAGAAGCTGCTGTAATATGATTCTCAGAAAAAGGCAGCTTGAGTCAAAGTGTTGGGTAATGAGGAAAACATAAGCCTAAAATGACTGCGCTCAATTCACCCAACTGCGCGTGAACAGAAAAGCCAGTAACTCACTGGGGGAGAAATCCAAAACAGAAGACAGGAGAGGCAGAGGCTACATATACACACAGTGGGGCGGATGAATCTCACTATCTCGAGAAAAAGAAACCAGACCCTAAAGAAGCCAGACAGAAAAGAGTACATCTCCTATGAGTCCATTGACATAGAATTCAAAAACAGGCCAAATGAATCGATGCTGTCAAAAGTCAGGATAGTGACTGCCTGTTGTGGAAGGGAAGTGGACCGAGGCCCAGCAGTGGCTGCTGCAGTGCTGATCACTTACTGTTTATGAACCGTGGTGCTGATCACCTACTGTTTATCAACGTGGGCGTTAGTAACAGGAGCGTGTCCACGTTGTGACAACTCATCAAGTTGTATGCTTATGATGTGTGCGCTTTTCTGCATGCATATTTCAGTAAAAAGTTTAAAAACCTCAAAGACAAGCATAAGAAACCTGGTTAGACTAGACTTGTGAGGCCCTCTCAGGCCTTTGGTTTTAGCTAGAACTTCTGGTGGCTGAGAGATGAGAGCAGGCCTGCACAGTCTGCCCTTTACTGCGGAGCTGAGGTCAGCAGTACACAAAAAGCACAGGAAGGAGCCACCACCCAGATGCCCCGTTTCTCAGATAATGTTTGAATCTGTCTTAAGGCTCGGATTTCCGACAAATTTCCATTGGTAGTCTTTGCACATTTGTTGAACCTGAGAGTTAAAATCAGAGAAAATATTTGAAATTTTCCAAGCTGATCTACACAAGTGATGTAACTTCAGCTAAAACCAGAACTTCAAAGTGAGGCAGGTGGAGGTGGACCGCCACTTTCCTTGTGTTGAAAGGGGCGTACAGCTCTCCAACTTCATTATTTCTCCAGCTGGATCATTTTATAGACTATCCCATTTTTTTCACCTGCTTCAAGCATTAACCTAAAGACATGTTTCCATCACATCTGAACCCAAATAACAAACCCAAAGGAGTCATCCTGAGAAGTATACCTCTTGCTCCTCACATTTAATTGCTTAAATTGACTTAATCTAATTTTACTAATTAAAAGTTATTCAAGTCGGTTAATTTTTTATGCTTGGAAGCTATTCACAGGTGATTACACATAACCCTTACTGTGTTTTGGAACACATCCCTACTATTTAAAACTCACAAGGGACAGCCTCACAGCTAAGTACATACGGTCCGTCCAGTTCCCTAGGCTTTGCAACCTTTCATCCCCAAAGCATAAAAATGAACATGATGACTTTGTTCCCTCTTCCTTCCATTGATTGTTAATTGATGCTTATTATTGTATTATGGTTATCTCCAAGTTTATTTAGAGAATCTGAAATACACAAAGTAATTCTGGGCTTACCCGTGAAAAGGAAGAAAATCAAGACCATGATCATCGAGTACCCAAAGTACAAAATAGTGCTTGCAACGTCCGCGATTTGAAGTTTGGTAATGAAGTAATAAACTGTAAACATAAAAAGATAAACAGCCATAAAACTGCTGGTAAAAAAGGCTCTCCACCATCAATGATAATCCTGCACAAACAAGTAGAAAAAACAACTTTTTAGATGAAATTCTAGCCATCCATGGACTAGCAATTATTGCAATCACAAGCAACATAAAGTAGGCTCCATAAGATTATGGATTAAAAGAAATAAAACGGGAAGTTTTATAAGAAACAATATGATATGTACCATCTGATTAACATACATCCTGCTTGGGATGCCCTAACCATTATAAACTGTTTCCTGGGTGACCATGTGAGCCCTCAGGGATTATACTTCTCATGTCTGCATCCTCTTTCTGGAGATGCTGCCTCAGCCCTGGAAGGCTTTCAAATCAGCTTCAATTTACTGGCCAGAGTTGTGCTGGGCCTGAATCAATGCTTCAGACCAGGTGAAAAAGGTTAGTATAGAAGTTTAAACTAGACCTTTTTTTCCCCCTTCCAGCTTTATTGAGATATAATCAACATACAGCACTATACAAGTTTAAGGTGTAGAGCATAATGATTTGATTTATATATACCATGAAATGATTATCACAAGAAATTTAATGAGCATCTATCATCTCATAGATACAAAACCAAAGAAACAGAAAAAATATTTTTTCCTTGTGATGAGAACCCATAGGATTTACTCTCTTAACAACTTTCATATATAATGTACAGTATTAATTATATTCATCATGTTGTAAATTATATCCCTAGCACTTATTTATCTTATAACTGGAAGTTTCTGCCTTTTGATGGCCTCCAACCAATTCTCCCTCCCCCAACCCTGCCGCTGGTGGCCACAAATCTGACCTCTTTTTCTATGAGTTTGTTTGTTTGCTTAAAATAGACCTTTATGACTAATGGGATTTGTTTTAACTGGCTAAATTCAAGACCCATGGAGGCATGACTGAGGTCAATAATCAGGTTGGTCTCACCCTGCCTCATGGACCCCTTCCTGACAATAATTTTACCATAAAGGCACTGTGTTCAAGGGTCAAGGGGATAAACGGTACAGAGAAGAGTGAACATAGCAGGTCTGAGGTTGCTGTCTTTAGAAGGGTCTGCTTGCAAGGCTGACCCTCGGCTTACATCTGGGAATTTGGTATTTAGTCATTCCCTGATTGATAAGACTGGTTTGCTCTACCTAGACTGTATAAACAATGAGGTTTATGGTGAACACTTGCTTTACTTTTGGGAGTCTGGAATTTTTGTAGTTGCTAGGCAGAGGGTGCCTATGTGACTAGCTCCCAGTAAAAACCTTGGATGCTGAGTTTTTGATGGGCTTCCTTAGGCGGAAACATTGCACATATATTCCTGCATTTTTTTATTGTTGGAGAAAGGAGCATACCCAGTGTGTGCCCCCCACCCCACCCCAAGGAGAAAGAGAAGGCACAGGAAGACTGTACGTGGATTTTTCCCAGGTTCCACCTGTGTCTTTTTCCTTGGCTGACCCTGTTGTGCATCCTTTTGCTGTAACAAACCCTAGCTATGAATACATCTACACGCTGAGTCCCTTGAGTCCTTCTAGTGAGTCACCAAACATGTGGGTGGTCTTGGGGACGCCCAAAACACTTTCTAAGAAATAAAAATATATACACATTATACAACAATTAATCTATGTTTCATTAATGCTTGTTGCAGATTTCCTATGCCAAAATGTACCACAGAATGAATGAGTAGCTAAGTGTAATATACAGATAATTATATATCTTTTCCCTTTATTCCTATAGCTCAAGAAGAAAATGCTCTAAGACATCATGGACATAATAATCATCCCTTAAACTCTCTATTGTCACCTTTAGGGAGTCACATTTACTACCAAAATAATAAGAGAGATTTGGGGGATTTAAGAAAACATGCTTCACTACCAACTTAGTTATCCAAAATGATATCAGGGTAAAAATGGGGGTTGCTTGGGGTGAAAAGAACTATTTATGTCCATGGTAACCAAAAGGCAGTGAAATGAAAGTAAGAGAAAAGGTCTTTAGCAGCAATCTCAAACCATAAAATACGATCCTGGCCTAAGCTGCAAGAAAATATTAACTGTTAAAAAGAAAACACCATTGAACCAGATCTTTTATGTGTCTAAACTATCAAACCAGTTTTCTATATTTTTCTATGTTGACTGAATATTATGCAGCAATTATAGTAACTAGCCAGAGAGAAATTGCTTTCTGTTTAAAATTTTCCATCAAAGTAGCATTAACTTGATAGCTGCATCAAAATCAAAATGTGTCATTAGGAAAACACAATATAAAACCCAGCCCAAGTCGCAGAGACAATGCAGTTAACATTTATTTCAATTCCTTTCTCAGCACCGACTTCTAATTGCAATAATGCAAGTTGAGAAAGCTTAAAATGCATTAGTTTCTTGTGTCTTTACCTCAGCGCACAAATGAAAATAACACAGCAACACTGTAGCTTCTGAGCAAGTAACCAGGAGAATTATAAAGACTAAGAAAAGAAAGCCGAACATGATGTACATCTGATGAGACCTGAAAATAAAAACGACAGCTTTAAAATAAACTTTCACTCAATGATACACGCAGAAAGATCAGCCCAACTCTATACAGTAAACTGTTACACCCTTCTCTCACCTTGAGCTCTTCATTCCAAACCTCTATCTAGCCAAGTACTACCAAAAAATACATTCCCTTACCTACATGGCTCCTGGGCCATATCTTCTCTCATCAGAATCTGTGTTGCTAACTTACCCATATTTCACTATTCATATCACTTAGTTTTCACTTAAGACCCAGCAATTTTCCTTATACACATTTGAAAACATGCTTTCTCTTTAGAAATGGGAAGTTGTAAATGCCGTAAACACCAGCGACTACATTATACAACAGAAAACCACAGAATCAAGCGTCATTTTGCCTTTGGAGGTCTGTTGACAGGTAGCCTCTCAAATAGGTCTTTATAGCACAGCACACATAATTTTATTAAATATACTTTCAAACATGCATCTTTAGAAGCATCTGTATGTGGATTACTTTGAAGGAATGAAGTCATTTCTTTCATTATTCTAGAGCTCAGCTGACTAAATCGGGATGAGAAATATATTTTTTTAAAAGCCTTCTGAAAGAGAAGAAATTGGGGAACTGATCAAGAGCCCATTTTAAAAGCTCATGTAAAATGTATACTTGGGTCTGAGGGTGAAGGATGGGGGTTGAGGAGAATCAGCTCTATAGTTGATAAATATATACAAAGATGTATACAACAAGCACAGTGTTGCCAATTTAAACAAGTTAATTTGTCTAAAGAATTTTTCAGTTTTCACTTGAAAATTACTTTTCCATCAAAAACATCTGGAAAATTCGGTTTCTAGAATTGATTTAGCAGCATGTTAAAGATTTAGTTGCCGACAAGGTGACAGATTTTATTGCTTATCTTTCAAACAAATTTGACACAATGATTTTAAAAGGTGAGCAACTAATGTGTGTGATTAAGCCTAATTTCTGAGGACTTAAAAGTCCTAGGTTCAATCCCCAGAGTCTCTATTAAAAAAAAAAGTTTTGTCTAGAAGATTCCTTTGGGACAAAGTGTTATAAACACACACAGTTGGCAACTGCATTTTATTTTATTTTATTTTATGGAGCCTTTTCCCCATCTCCAAAAATCCCTCCACAGTAACACCCCACTTGGCCAGCTCCTGAAACCAAAATGCTGTCAAGAATCAGGAAGTAAAAAAAAAACAAAACGGGACTCAGAGCAACTGAAATACCTGTTACAAAGCAGGGACACTAAAGTGGTGGCACTTTAATCAGAGAGCACTGGTTCTTACTTCACATGCATTTCTAACTATCTTGGTTATTAGAATTCTTAAACCACAACAGATTAAAAGTAGCAAATAAAAAGAGAAAAGCTATAAGGAAAAGGTATCTGACACTAAAACTAACAGTTGAGAAGAAGGAAGATGGAAACCCATTACTTAGAGCTCAGTACAGATGAAGACAAAGTCAGTGGTCTTCAAATTATTTTTAGCAGAGGAACTCTAAATGAAATCTTGCCTGGAAGACCAGTATGGAAAACATCTTTAAGCACCTCCCTCCAAGGGACACCCGCATCCCACCCCTTGCAAAGGCTCAGAGAAGTACAGTTTGAGAATAGCTTTTCCAATTCACCTGGAAAGGCTGAAAAAAAGGTTATTAATTTTAGAAAAGGAAATCTTTATAGACATTTCCATCAAAAAGTGGCTTTGAAATTTTGTGAATTAAGTCTTAGTTTCCTTGGTGAAAAATATGAAGACAAATATATGTTTGTATATGCAAGACTGGGACATTGTGCTGTACGCCAGAAATTGACACGTTGTAATTGACTATACTTCAATTTTTAAAAAAAGTCTTAGTTTCCTTGGAAATTTTCCCAGGCCAGACTGCTATTTCCTAGATAAAGCAGGGTGGCAAATGAAGTTCTACCAGACCAGAAATAAACCTCCTCGACACAGGAAAATTCACTTCTTAACAATGATTATTTTTGAGACTATAAAGATACCATACTCACCAAATACTGTTTAGGATGAAAAAAAGTTGAATAAAAGTACAGCCAAAAGGTAAAACACCACCAATTATGATTCCAAAAAGTGGTTTCCTAAAGAAAGTTTGCTGAGGAATCTGGCGGGGAACCTGGTTGATGTGAACTGGATGCTTAAACTGCTCGAAAATAAGTCAAATGAGAATCAGAATAAAATAAAATTGAAGTAAATTTATACAGATATTATCACAATACAGAATCTTGAAACTGAACATTTCCAAGAGCAGTTATCCGGGCAGAGGCCAGACCCATGCTGTGTAACACAAATACGATAATGCAAAGCACAAACACAGTATTAAATTTTTTAATAGCTGTATTTTTAAGAGTTAAAAAAGGGGAAATTAATTTATTAATAGATTTTATTTGATCTAATGATCTAACACGCCTAAATATTATCATTTAAATTTGTGATTGATATAAAGATTATTAATCGGCTATTCTATATTCTTCTTGTTGTTCTAAGCATTTGAAACCAGTGTGTATTTTATACTTACAGCACATAATTCAGACTAGCCACATTCCAAATACTCAGAAGCCACAATCGGCTAGTGGCCACCATACAAGATAGCTCAACAATAAGGATGTCTATTCTTTCTTATAAATTTCAAGGGAGAGATTGGACAAAATTTACTAGTGACTATTCCAACATGAAATAATATATGATGTCAAAAATTCTCAGGATTTGGCTAAGAATTTGTCTCTGAAAATTTGTCAGCAGTTTTCAGAATTTCTTCTTTTTTCTGCTCTCTGTGGAACTCTACCACCTGTTTTGTCCTGTCTGATTTCTCCCCTGCAAACGTATGCTGTATCTTTATACAACCTTTTTGCAGTGTGGCCTCATTTAGTCTTCATGGTATATCGCTCCTTTCCCCTTATGCGTGGAATAGGCTAACTTCAAATCTGTAAACCGAACAGCTCCATTTCTTGGATTGTATCCTGGCTTTCTTCCCCTGACTATATAATCCTATTACTTTTCTGATGTGACTAAAGTCAGCCTTCCTACAATATGTTCTTTTAATTTTGCCCATCAGAGATAGAGGGAAATATAAACAACCTATAAAATGGGAAATACATTAAATAATGTCTTTTAAAGTGTTACTGGCTTTCATTTAATATTTTTAAATCTTTTATTCCAAAATGATTATTCATTGTTGTTGTCACCAATGGTACATTTTCCATTCCATATATAGTATATATACTCATTGAGGGATTATTTCAGACATCACTCAATGGTCAAAGTAGTATTTTAAAAGCTTACCTTTCCCATGCTTCCAATGTATGCACCCAAAAATGTTAGTGGTACTGAAATTCCAAGCCACATTGCAAAAATACCTATCAAAGCACCAAAGGAGATGGCAGCCGATGACCCCTCCACCCAAAGAATTAGATTCATGATGAAGAGATTTGCAAAGATGACACTGGGGGTAAAAGTCATCAAAAAACATTATGATTTCAGGAAAATATTATAAACATACTTGATGTAAATGTCAGAACACTCTTTTGGTAGGAAAGATATAATAAATTACTTGGTTAAACCCTAGAAGAATATTAAATCACACTGTGTAAACCTACTCATTGAGCTGGAGCTTAAACTCAATACCATATAATAAAATAACAGTTTATTATAGGATATAATTTCCACATCCCACTCATCGTTGCACATCCAGAGTCTAGCAAAAAATAAATAAATAAGGTGTGGAGTAGTATATCATTGAAAAACTCAATATGCAATATAGTGAACACAATTAAGAAAATACATATATTAAAAACAGATTTCAGAATCCTAGACTGAAATGGGCTATAAATAGCCTCAAGTCAGACAAGTATTCATTTAAAACAAAGAGTTTTAGGTATACATAAAATAGATAAAACAAGTTCATACTGCATAGCACAGGGAAATATATTCAATATCTTATAGTGGCTTATGGTGGAAAAAAAGTGAAAATAAATATATGTATGTTCATGTATGGCTGGGGCATTGTGCTGTACACCAGAAATTGAAACAACATTGTAAACTGGTTGTGCCTCAATAAGAATAAAAATAAAATTAAAAATAAAACAGTTTTAAATTAGTCATTCAAAATCAGCAGGTCAGCTGCTAAGTCTGCTGGATAAATCCCCAGGCAAGCCCAGCTAGCGTGTCTGTGTGTGTTCCAGGCAAGTTTGATCCCGGCTACAGGTGAGTATGGGCGTGCATATGGATTTGAGTATCTCTGAAAGCCGAAAAGGTGAAGTTGAAAAAGTGGGATGAGGCTAGATCGTGGAAGGCTTTGAATGTCAGGTTAAGGAATGTAAGCTTTATCCTGTCAGCATCAGGAAGCAACTGAAGGGTTTTTACACTCACAGCTGTGATGTACATGGTACAGTTTTCCAAGGAGGTGAATCTACAGCATTTCGAAGGGCAGACCTAAGGGAGGAGATACTAGAGACAAGGAGACTGGATATAAAGTAGTTAAAATCTGTACAATGTGGTGGTGACTGTTAAAATGTAAAGTATGGATAGAAGGATACAAAAGACATAAAGAATTAAAAGACTTCAGGTTAATAGAAACAGTCGCACATAGAAAACAAACTTATGGTTACTGGTGGGGAAGGTGGGGAGGGACAAACTGGGAGTTCAGGATTTGCAGATACTAACTACTATACATAAAATAGATAAACAACAAGGTCCTACTTTAC